GTTAATAACAAAAAAAAAATATATTTATAGTTCTTATTCAGCCTTGGAGTGAAACTATACATTGATGATTAAGAAGTGATATCTCGTATCTGTGCGAAAATACTACTTTACAATATCGACATATCCGCGATAAATATGAAATCAACCAAATGCATGTGAATAGGAAAGAAGGCCCATGAAATAATATGATATATATATATATATATATATATATATATATATATATATATATATATATATATATATATATATATATAATATACATATAACAGTACTGAGGAAAAGATTAGAGAAATCCAACCTGGACCTTAAACAGTCAGGGTACGCCACTAGTGCCACAATAACGGTTTTTAGTCATCAAATGTTTTATAAAATGGCTCAATCAAAAAACTATGGTTTGTGGGACATAATTTTTCAGCCAACATCATGGAATCCTATTGCTTTTATCTGTCTCTCCAATACCCTTCTCAATTTCGAATCCCTCCAATTTAATTGCTTCCTGCCTATCAAGTACAAAAATAATTGTAAAATATTTAGAGATGGATAAATAGTCGACTGATCAATTATATGGATGAAAAAAAAATTTCAGAACTTTCAGTAAAGATATTTTAATAATTAGGTTAGCTGATGTTTCGACCAACATGTTCAGGTCGAAATGTCGGCTAATCTAATAATTAAAATACCTTGACTGAAAGTCCTGAAAATTTTTTTTAATCCAACTGTAAAAAATGTTTGTTATTTTTAATCAAAATTTATAAATTAGAAGAATAATTAGACATTATCAATTAAGACTGATTAGTATGCTGGGTGTTATAGTAGCTCAACATAGATGAGCAGTTGTACAGTTTTATAGCACTTTTCTCTAATATTAATATATTATGTTAAATATGATATATTTAATCATTATTACTATATTTTTATTTTTTCAATATTAGAAGTTTGTTTTGTTTTTTTCCAGATTTTTACTTGTTAATTTATAAGTCCATATTTATTTTACTCTAAAGGGCTCATCAATTTATTTTAGTTCGACAATTTTGGTATGAAATATTATTTAAAAGTGATGTGTCCTGGAATAAATAAAGAATTTATTATTAGCATTATTACTATGTTATGACATTTAATTTTTTCATACGTATCAGTCTCGCCTACAAATTGGAGGTGTTACCAACAGATGAAAATATAATTTCATGACATTAGACTCCAAGACATAAAATTTGGGCGATTTCAAGATATCACTTCTTAGTCATCGATACATTGTCAACGTTACGACTATAGCAACTAAAAAAAAATAAAGAGTTAAAATAATGTCAGAAAAAAATAATATTTAATAATACAAATAATATTTTCTTTACCAATTTGAGTGAAAGTGGGCGGCAGGTATAAAAATGTCCACAACCAATGATTACTTCAAAACCTAGTAGCACCTACGCGATCCCAATATAAGGGCAAAAATATAAATAACAAGCCATTTTATATTAAATAACTCTTATAAGCCACTCAATATAAATTAACTTGTTCTGCTTTCAGAGATTCTTTAAAAACAAAACACTTTTGAAATTTTAATGAAAAAAATAATAAATCTGCTTAAATGATAACTATAATTACAATCCATAAGAAAAAAACATTCCATCCGATTAAAATGAACATACCCTGCCATTACATACGTTATCAAATCTAAACGAAGATTCACACTAAATAACAATGGAAGAATAAAAACGATAAGTCTTTTTCTTTATATTGACAATATAAGATGATAAAATATGTTATGGGTCCTAAAGATAATAATAGGCCAATAGGCAGTGAAATATTTTAACACTTTCATTGGAAATATTTTTGCTAACTTAATTCTTCAATCATTAACGTTTAATTGCAACTGTTTTAATTTAAAAACAAATAATAAAAAAAAAATTATTTTTTATCACTTGAAATTTTAATGTATTTTTTCCCCACACTTAATAAACCATTAATCGTTTAACGAAGATGAATGGGAAGGGTGAAGCACCCAGAGGGACGAAATACTTATCATTACCTCTACTTACTGATTACAAGTTAAGGCATTGTTCATAGATTTCCATAATTTCCAGTAACACAAAAATTACCTACTCCCTCATGGGAAGGCAGCGAGATAGTTCGAATTGATCACTTAGCAACCTGTCGTTTAATGAGAAAGAGGTCGTCAGGCTCTCAACTTATACGAATCCACCATTGCCTGGGCTCGATTCATATATGAGTCCACCATTGTTAAAGAAATAAGGATAATTAAAAATAAATTATTTAAAAAATAAGTATTAGGAGGAAATATTAGAATATACTAAGCACATTGTTCCTCATCAAGACGCTGTCACCTGTATCCTCTAGAGACACCTTATAAAAAACATAATCTGAGATTTTACTTTGAAATGTTAATAGTTGAAGTGTTTTTATTATTTAAAAAAATATATATGATTAAAGCATCATATAAATTATATAATTAAAAAAAATATTATAAAAATAACTACCCATTCTAAGAGATTTACTGCTACTTAAAAACATTGGTAGATAACTAAAGCCGGGAGAAAAAATCTGGGTGATCTGTGGGATTTAAGTAGCACAATTGATTCCAAGTTTGCAATCAAAATATTTCGTCCCCTTATGACTGTACGGAGGTTTCGATTTTTACTTTGATCCCTAAGATTTGATGACCGAGAACACATCAACAACGTAAAGAAATAGGCCGACTGGCACCTATCCGAGACATAGTTGAAGAGTTTGTCAGAATCTTGTTATTTAGTTGGAGCTGACATGACTATCGATGATAAATTGTAATTGTATAAATAAATGATAAATCCTTCTTTAGAGGATGAAGTTCATGTTGTAATGATGTTTGTATTAATTATTCTTGTATCCAATTTAATCTTATTATAATTGTTTCTAGTATTCACTGATTTATGTTTTTGTATTTAATGGTATACAGAATTTAATATACAAGTTCCTAATTTTTTCAATATAGTTTTAATATATTTACATAATATATTGATTTTTAATATATTCTTATAATTATTTAACGGTTTTTACTCAATAAATATATTTAAAAACTCATGTTATATCGTTTCTTTCAGTACAATTAGAAATTAGTTGGTATTTGTGATCAATAAATTGATTTAGTTAAATGGATCTCGATGTTCGATGTGACTCTAAGGTTAGCATTAAATATTAGGCCTTCGAAGTATTAAGTTGTTTGTTATGATGTTATAAAATTTCTGGTCTTTTTATCATCTTATTCCATTGCTGTGGTAAGATTATGAAAATGAAAGTTTTTGCCAGGAAAAATTGCCAAAGCTTAACCTGCTCATCTTAACCCGCCCTTTCCCTACTTACCAATTCCTTCCGAAGTGCAGTGGAAGACACTCGACTACCGCACCAAGTTTCAATATTATTAACATAAACTCAACAAACAATCTACCAATATGTTTAACTATATATGGTAGTATACATACTGTTCATTAGGTTGGATATCATTAATTCTGTAGTTTTTTTTTTTAAATTAAATTATTTTTATATTTTAGTGTTTTTAGTTTTTCAGGTATTGGCAATTAATGTTCAACTTACACATAATGGTATGATATAAAAGAGTTTTTGCAAGCTTGAATTGTTTCAAAACACCCGTGGGATCTCACTAAAAAATTTGAGACATAAAAATTAAACAATCTGTAGAGCTGTTCGCTCAAAATATCGTTACATACCTTTTACCTTTAATCCGTTTCAAAATATTCACAATATCTTACTAAATAATTAGCGACATCAAAATTAAAAATCTCTTGAACCATTTGTTCAAAAAATCGTTAAATACCTAAAAATTATTACGCTAAACAAATAATCCTTCTTAAGGCTCCGCCCCCTAGTTTATAAAAATTATTTTAAATTTTTGTCAAAAAAATAATTATTTTAGAGATATTTTTTTTAATCAACTGCAATTTAGACTTACTGAAAAAAACTTGAACAATCAATTTGAAACAATAGTTTAATAATAATAAATAAAAGATATTTTGAATGAGAAAAATGTCTCTTATTCCATTGTCAATGTCACTTTGATTTTTTAGGACAATTAAATGTAATTAACTGAAATAAAGTTTTTTTTTTTAATGAATTGAAATTTTTGTTAAAAATAAACTATTTTAATATATATATTTTTTTTTTATAATTCTACAAAAAGAAAAAAAAAATGTTTTAATAAACTCTTTGAATTTATGTTAACATCCTATTGCATTGATTACGATCAAATAGATATTTATTCAACTTTTCTATTAAAAAATAAATGACTTTTATTTTATAGAGGAAAAATGTTTTGTATGAAACAAAAACAAAGTTAAATTTTTATGAACCGAATAGAATTGATTTTTAGTTGGTTTGTCTCCATTCTCCTGAATTGCTAATTTTATTTTCTTTAAAAAAAATATTCTTTTAAAAATTAAAATAAAAGTTTCATGTAGACAAATTCGAACTAATAAATAAGAAACATTTTTTTGAAGATTTTTTTAGTTTGCTAATGTTAATTCTAAGCTTAGGTTAGTTTATTAAGTGTAAACAAATATAAAGATGTAAATTGAATAATTTCGTTAAATATTTTTTTCTCATTCAGTTACTACTTTAGAACACCAATATATTTTTTTTAAGATTCCAATGAAAGTGCTAAAAGTTATATAGCAGAATAAAAAAAAAATGGACGAAATGATAGCTAATAATAATTACTTTGAATTAAAAAAGATTGAATGATATTGAAAACAAGTATTATTTTAATTATTTCATAGTTACTTTTTCTTTTAATTTTTTTTAAAAGTATATATTTCAAAAATTCATTATAAAGCTGATGAACTAATCTGTTAAAACCTCAAAAATACCTTTAACATATAAAGCTTAAGGAGAGAGAGACTCACTAGAATAAATATATATATAATCTGTAATATCTTTTAAAAATATATATATATATAAACATATAATGGATTATATAACATAATATCTCAGTAATGGATAAAAAATAAATCCCTTTAAGCAAACCTGTAAACGTTCGCACAAATTATATAAAGTGAAATATTCCAAAACATTTTTGTAATGATACAACATAATTGTTATCTTGGTAATAATTACAAGCAAAAATAACAAACAAAAAAAAAACTAAAAAGAAAGAAAAATATATATGTATATATCGATAACAATGGTGGTTATATTACACTTAGAGACCACATTGTAGAGTTACGACGATTGAGAAGGCTTCTCTTGTAGGGCGCTATTGAGCGTTCGAAGGCACTTAAGTCGTGAGTCAAGTAGGCTCACGTCTATGGAGGGATACTTTGCCAACTACACCTGGAAAATTAAATCATTATTTCAGATATTTCTCGAAAAGGGTGGTTCACATTTGCAGGCAGAAAACTAAATAGTTAGGCGTTGAATGATAAAATAAAAATAAAAAACTTATGAGGTTTTTATACTAATGAAGGATAATCCTTAAATGGATAAATAAATAGATAACAATTAGGTTCGCAAACTACGGATGATGGAGCTAACTTTCTTTGGTCGATGAATAAAGATAACGCCGGTGACTTGATAAAGTTCATGAATGACATAAAAGCAGTCATATAATATAAGTTCTAATAGTTTTGGTAAATAAAATAGTTGTAGGTTACGATGAGATGAAACTATTTACGAAGTTTCAGGCGGTAAGATAATCTGATCACAAAATTGATAAAAAATGTGGCCTACAAAAATATTGGGCCATTTGTCCTATATAACCTTGTTATTTTGACAATTTGGGGGGTGTAGGTCACAACAAACAAATCAATATTTTTGAAGGACACCTTGTTTCTTGATTTTGTGATCAAATTATGTTACGATCCAAGTAGAAAGGAAATTGGTATTTATGACTTTTTAGTACCTAATTAAATAGACAAAATTTGCCTCCCCCCTCCCCCCAGATTGAAAAGCCCCAATTCCAAGAGTTATAGTAAATAAAATAGTTGTAGGTTACGATGAGATGAAACTATTTACAAAGTTTCAGGCGGATGTTAATAATTCGATGAAAAGTGGTCTGTACCACGGACTACTGGTATTTTTGACCAATAAATTGATTTAGTGAAGTGAATCTCACAGATCCGTAGCGACCTTCAGAGTGTTAAGTTGAATATATGTATATGGGTGTGTGAATTTAGTGATAAATAAGAACAGGAAAATATAAAAAAATGTTGTGGCCTCAGTTAGCATTGTCTAACCTTACTGCAGCCTCTAATGTTAAAATAAGTTTCCCACCTGTGAACTAAACCAGGGGTTTCCAAACTACCACTAATCTGGCCAACAAAAGTTTCTTTGATTACATGGTAAAACTACTACTTCAGAACTATTTAAAAAATACAAAATGAAGTAAATCACTCAAATAAGAGGTATCATTTATTTCAAGATTTGTTTCTCTTAGGAAGCTCATTTGATAGCTGAAGTGTCATTTATTTATCACAAGGCATAGCCTACAGGACTTAGTGGAGGCATCAATGCGGCCCACGTTCCAAAAATTTGAAGACCCGTAAACTAGACTATCAAGTATTAAAAAAAAAAAAAAAAATATATATATATATATATATATATATATATATATATATATTGAATAAGTTTAAGGACCACTTTGACAATATTTTAAATACGGGAAATTATGATCTGTGTCCTTCTGAGTACCAGAGTGCTGAACCGTATTTTCTTTACGGCAAATATTAGAGAAAAAATTGGAGTACAACGGTATTGTTCACCAGCTGTATATAGATTTTAAAAAGGCTTACGATTCTATTGACCGCCAGAAACTGTATAATATTCTAATCGAGCAGGGGATTCCAAAAAAACTAGTAAATCTAGTCAGAATGTGCTTGACGGAGACACTCAATAAAGTTAGAATCGGTAATAATTGGTTCGAAAAATTTGAGGTTCGTTCGGGCTTAAAACAGGGGGATTCCCTTTCGCCTGTCCTGTTCAATTTGGCATTAGAACATGCCATTAGGGAGGTAATGCGAACCGAGAAAGGGTTGGATCTGGGCGGGACAACATCCGTGCTGGGCTATGCTGATGATCTGGTACTGTTAAGCGAAGACGTTGAAACTATAAAACTAAATACGACAACGTTAATGAAAGCCGGTAAAGAACTAGGACTCGAAATAAACGTGGATAAAACAAAATATATGGTTAGCTGAAAAAATGGTGATACTACTGGTGATATCGATATAGATGGTAATATGTTTGAACAGGTAGATAAATTTAGGTATCTAGGTTCTACGATAACTAGAAAAAACGAAATTGAAGAAGAGATTAAGGTTAGACTGAAGGCGGGAAATGCTTGTTATTTTTCTGGGACAAAACTACTTAGTTAGCGCCTCTTGTCCCGAAACTTAAAAATTAGAGTCTATAAAACAATTATCTTGCCTACAGTTCTTTATGGATGCGAAACTTGGCCGCTTACATTAAGGGATGAGCAGCGTCTTAAGGTTTTTGAAAATAAAGTATTGCGTAGAATATTCGGACCGAAGAAGGATGAGTTTCCGGGTAATATAATTGAGGTAATTTCATTGCGGCGAATCAAATGGGCTTGTAAAGTTGTTGGGCTTAGTAACGAGAGAATTCCTAAAAGGTTAATATTTGCTGTGCCGAATGGTAAGCGTCCGAGGGGTAGACCGAAGCGAAGGTGGGAAGATTGTATTAAAGCCGATCTGAAGGGACTGGGTTTGGACGGCGAACGGTGGAGGGAGGTATGTAAAAAGTGATTGGTGGTGTCGGCATCGAACCTTCGGGTTTGCTAAACCTTATTATTATTATTATATATATATATATATATATATATATATACTTTTTTATATATATATATATATTTATATATATATATATATATATATATATATATATAAAAAAGTTCATTTTATGTATAGGTATATACTAAATCAGAGCGATCATGTCAGTAGAAAAATAAGTTATTAACTATTACTTACTACAGTATTCCGTTGGTGAAATACTGAAAACCATCGTACAACTTTGTGCTAATGGAATGTATGCTGGTCTCAACGAGGCTGTCGACAAGGAGCTGCATCTGCTCGTCGGTCAGGTTCATGTGCAGTCTACTTTTGAGAGCAGTCACGGCTGTAGAGCCGCTCTTGAAGCATGGTAACTGACAACCTATGGTATAATTAAAATATTATATATATATATAGTAAATATAAAAAATATAGGTACTTATTTAATAGCGGGTAGCGTCAAAACCTCCCTTCTTATCTAATCTCATTTCATATAGCCTCCCTTATCTCACCTAACCCAAGTTGTTATTTAATTATGGATGTTGTCACATTGTGGGAATTGCTGTCTTCAGAAGAAGAGGCTATGAAATATTTTGAAGACGCCGGGATATTTGCAAAGGTCTAATATTCTGATGAAGGTCATCAAAAAAAGTTCGACGGGAGGATTAAACGGAGATGCTTTCGTAATTGTAACAAAACCGTTTCTATTTTAAATACCATAAAACTATTTTCTCTACCAAAATAAATCAAGTTAAATAAAATTTTTGATATTTTGTTTATATCGTTTCTTCATAGTGTTTCTTTTATATGTACATATCCTGTTTAAGTATTTTTTTATTATTTCATCTATTTTTGTCTATTTTTATTATTTCATTTATTTTAATATGTATGTTGCAATGTTTTTTAATTACATATTTATAATGTTTTGGTCTATTTTAATATATATGTTGTAAAACAAAAGTACTTTTATTATTACGTTTGTTTTTGTTCACAATTTCAATAATATCAATACAATACAATAAATATGAATACGAAGATATAATAATATGAATATAATACAAAAAAATATGAATATGAAGAGCTTATCAGTGTTAAGGTTATAAACATTAGCAGATAGCAGTCGGACGCTACCCGCTATTAAATAAGTACCAAAATATATATAATATTAAAGTAAGTGTGTATACATTGTAGTGATTTTTGCACGCATTTACTGAGAATTAATTATTAAATATAAGAATAATTGTTAAGTAATAATCATTACTTACTTACAGTGAAGTTACAGAATTATTCTGTACTGTTCTATTTATAACAATTAACTTATTGTATAGATGTTACCTTGAATATTGTATTTATCCAATGATTTGTATTCCATAAACAATAACGTTCCCCGAACCTCCTTACTTTGTTTCCCTATCCCTGCTATTTTATCTGGAATATCCTCCCCTCCAACCCTCTCACTTACCTACCTTGGTGCCGGTACCTGAACATCTTCAATGCTGATAACATAGTAATATTTAATGTTTTATTTTTATAAATTGATTATGTATATTATTTTATAGTTTGCATAGCTTATTACGTATTCCATTTGTCTATCTCATATATCATCCATCACTATTTATCATTTTTAACTATTATCTGTTTTATAATATTACATCTCTGAAGTTATAAATTTTTCAGCCACAATAATGAACCACATGGTTGGGTTAACAATTCTAGCCCAAGCTCTCGTTTACGCAGATGATATTGTCTTCATAACAGACTCATCCGCAAAATTACAGCAAGCAATTGTGGAATGGGAAGCTGAGCTTGAGAGAAATGATCATAAACAAAGAAAAAAGTAAGATTATGCAGATAGGTCGAGAAATTGAAGACATACAAATAAACTGTAGGGGTCAGAATCTGGAGTTGGTAGAGGAATATACATACCTAGAGACGGTTGTTGGTAGAAATTGAAAAATAGACCAAGAGATAACAAACAGGATAAAAAAAGCAAATGGCATCTATTACCAGATCTGCAACACGTTCTTAAGAAAATGAGGTGGAAAATATAACTAAGATTCGTATACACAATATACTCTACTTTCCAACCCTACTGTACGGTAGAGAGAGCTAGGTCCTTCCAGATAGGAACAAAAGTAGACTTACCGCTGCTGAAATGAAATATCCAAGAAGAGTAGCTGGCCGAAGTAGAGTTGCATCCGAAACAAACGGGTTAGAGAAAATGTTAAGGTGGCACCAATAATGGAAACCGTGGAAAGGAAAACGCTCAAATGGTTCGGTCATGTTATGAGGATGGACGAGGACAGAGAACCCAGCAAATTTTTTGAGGCAAGACCCACAGAAAAGAGACCAAGAAGACGTCCACGGAAAACTTGGATTGGCGAAATAACCAAGCTCGGACAGAAAAGAGGCGAGCAGTTGGGTCATATGAGAGACCTGGCAAGAGACCGTGATGACTGGCATAAATGGGTGGAGGCCCCTCCACGCTGAAAGTAAGGAGGAAGACAAAGAGAACAAGAAGAAGGTTGGATTAAAATGGCAGCAATTAAAAATTAAAAAAAAGAACTCATGGCATCCGGATTATCTATCACCCATAATAACTTGCATTAATATTATATAGTGTAATATACACCTTTCTAACAATTAATGTAAAAATAGTGCGAATACTTAATAGTTGACCATTGTATTTTAGAGGAAGGAGATGGTCTCGGGTGGCAATCATAAATTGACTAAAATAGTGACAAAACTATTTTATTTTAAAACAACGTTGCGACCGGACTTTGCAGGTCTTTTTTAAGGAGGTGTGTCCAGCAAGGAGGTTAGTTAAAACTCGTTCAGTTTTAACTAAAACTTTTTGCTAACAAGCTTGTTACAGTTCATTGAGACTGCAGGAATTACGCTCTATACAGGAGTGACTTTAATAAAAGCGTACAATAGGCCCATATGGCTGCAGTGCACTCAAGCCGCTTAAAAAAAAAAAATAAGAATATTTTAGAGTATCCAATAACCTATAATCCAACTAACATTTAAAAAAAAATAATTTCAAGTAAATACTATAATGCAAGATTTTACATTAAATTAGTCTTTTTTTTTGCGTTCATTTAGTAATAATTTAATAATAAAACATACCTGCCGTGTTTTCAAAACAAATATCTTATATTTATAACTAAAATGATTGTATGAGTGATAAGTGATAAATTTAAAATCAGAGATACTCTTTCAATTCTTAAAATAATATTTTATCATATTCCTTCTATCAAGAGGCTGATATATTCTATAACAAATATTACATGATATTATTCGATAAAATATTCTATAGAGCAGACATAACCTAACCTGATTATTCAATAACTAAATAAGATGAAAACTAAGCTATTTTATGTGCTGCTGACCTTCTGATATAAATGAAAATCATTAAATTTAAGGCTAACGTTTTCATTACAAATCATTTTAGACCAGGATGCTTAAAATAGGAGAAGTTGGCTGCTATGGTGATCAGTTTCAGCGAAATACATAAGAATTAATGGATGGCAATCACTGCCATGGTTAGTACCAATGAAATAGTACCTTTAGGTAGGTTTGTATACATTAAATAGAAGGTTTTCAGTAAGCACTGTACTTTAAAATCATAATTTATACTTAGTTAATCGAAATTGCCAAAATAATGTACCATTACAATATATTAAAAGAAGATGCAATATACTAACATGAAAAAAAAAATCTGTAAACTAGCAATTAAACGTACTCAAATAGTTTATTACATCTTTGATAGTTTAAATAATATAATGGAAAACAAGAAATATTTGTATATCTTAATGTGATAAATAATAAATACAAAACATTATCTTACCCAGGCTCATTATTTCAACAAGGCTGAGAATCCTGTCTTGGTATTTCTTAATGGTAACGAGTCCTTTGAGCATCAAAATTTTAAAATACTCAAACATATCCGAAGAGAGGCCACCCATTATCTCCACAAACTCGGGGGTCAGTTTGAACGGAGAAGTCTCAAAACCCAGGTTCCTCGGCGACGATGACAGAATGAAACCGAAATCTATATGAATAAGGTGTCCATCGCTACTCAGAAGAATGTTGCCATTATGCCTAAAATAAAAAAAGTTTATATTAAACATAAATAAGAAAAAAATATATACATATAAAAATATGTATAATATATTATACTTTTAATTTGTTTCTGACCTGTCTTTAACCTGAATGAGATAAGAAACTAAGCAGTAGGCAGCGCAGGACCTGACAAAGTTATCCTGTGCTGTGAGGAACCCCTCAGAATTCGGGGGCCCAAACTCACGAATAAAATAATCCCACAAAGACAGTTGACAGTGCTTCTTTATCTGGTGAAGTGATACGGTGTTGAGGATTGGTTCAATAAGGCCCGAATCTTCCGACAGGCATAATATCCTAGAAAAAATATAAATAAAACCATCAAACAAGGTAATAAGACATGACAGTCATTTTTATGTTATTTATTGAACACGTCCACTGTACTTTATGTATTTGTATACATTTTTTGAATTAGGTTAGGAAGAGAGCGGGAGGACAGAATATGAGGAGGAATAAGAGAAACGTATAGGGAGAGAGAAGGAAGAGAAAGGGATGTAGAATGCTAATAAATGAATGAAAGGAATTATCAAAAAATAATAAAAAAGGAAAAATAAATAAAATATAAAAAATAATACATACATACATATATATATATATAAACAAATATACTGTATACGATGCTCATATATATTGTTAATACTATATATTTGTATATTAGTTTTGAAAAATTGTCTATTGTGATTAATAAGTATGCTGAGTTTGAAGCAACCCAATGTAAGTGGGCAGCACCCTTTTATGGAAATAAAGTGATTCTCTCTATAATGGTTAAAAATTTGAATTTGAAACCATTGACAGTTACTTTAAATACAGTTCTTTGGAGGGGTGGGGGAGAAATGTAGTTTCAGATTTATATTTTACAAGTGTTTGCCCAGTGGAACATTTAATAGACATAGGTAACAAAAACTACATTAAATGAAAAAATATAAATAAAACCATCAAACAAGGTAAATAAGATATAATGGTTAAAATTTTGAGTTTGAAACCATTGGTGGTTACTTTAAATACAGTTCTTTGGAAGGAAAAATGTAGTTTCAGATTTATATTTTACTAGTGTTCGCCCAGTGGAACATTTAATAGTTATAGGTATAATAGGAGGAGAGAGAGAAGATACTGTTGAATTGGGAGAAGACACGTTTCGTATCTGTGATAAATTTAAGTACTTGGGCGGAGTAGTGACAGAAAACAGTAATATGGAAGCAGAAATAAAAGGCAGGATGGTTGTAGGAACTAGATGTTCATATGCTCTGTAAAAGGTGATACAAAAGTCTGTCCAGGAAGGCAAAAATAGTAATATATAAAACGGTGATTAGACCGGTCGTTTTGTATGGCAGTGAGACGTGGACTATGACCAAGGAAAACAGGGGAGCCTTGCTGGTGTGGGAAAGAAGAGTCCTAAGGAAGATCTTTAGAGCTGTCAGAGAGCAGCATAGATGGAGAATAAGAAGTAAAACAGAGTTAATGGAGTTATATGGAGAGCCAGGCATCCTTAGTGTCATTAAGAAGGGCAGGCTCAGATGGCTGGGGCATGTTGAAAGGATGGATCTCAGTAGCCTTCCAAAAATGATGCTGAATGGTACTCCAGGAAGGAAAAGAGAAAGAGGTAGACCCAGACACCGATGGTTGAATGATCTGGAAGAAGATTTGAGGAGGCTGGGGATCAGAAAGTGGAGGATTCTTGCTGCGGACCATGGAGGAGAGTGGTGGCAGAGGCCCAGGTACTACAAGGACTGTAGCGCCCATTGAAGAAGAAAAAGGTATAATAGGTAATAAAAATTACATTAATACTAATGGATTATAACCAAAAGGGAAACAAACAATCATATAAGTAAATACACAATTTTTAACAGTTTTTCCGATATATCAGTCTTAGATCAACACCAGGAACCCTCAGGATCAGTAAACACAGCCTATTTAAATTTTAAAAGTTTTATCTAAATACCTGTACGGTTGAAGCCAGAGAGGGACTCCTGCAGAAGTCCACACCGCCTGCAGCGCAGTAAGGAGCTGGGACGCAAGGAGTTCTTGTCGTAGGTCATCGCCGCACTTCACAATTACAGACAGAAGTTTCCAAGACGACAGGTAACCGTAAGGAGAACTGTCACGGATCCTTCTCTGTTTTTCTTCCCACGGTTCCTGAATAAATGAATTAATCAAAGACAAATTAATAAAAACTATTAGAATGAATACAATACTTTTTATTGCTATAGGAAAGAGGAAGTTAGAAATAGGACCAATTGCATTTTGTAAAATTTTCCAGGATTGCATGCAAAAAAACATTTAATACAGAAAGATCCATTAGTTGCTAAAAATTTTATTTGAAAACCAATATGTAACTAAAACTGAACATGTAATAAATATAATAAATTAATCATTGAACGAGCAGTGCCTATTAATGTCCCAACTACCTAAAAGCAGAAATATCCTATACAAAATAATTCAGTTACAATTCTGAAGTTACCAGAAGGAACAAAAAAATACATTTAAAAGTTAAAATTGATTAGTCCGAGTGCTGTAGCTGAAATTCAATTTAGTTGAATCACCATTGTCTTAACTATATCGAATTTTGCTATCTTTGGCCAGTGTCTATTTAAGGTACTGGCAAAATAGAAGAATGTATCATGTAGTGGAAAATTATTTTCATTAAATCCATTTATTGAAAATTGTTTCCACAGGAAAACTTTCAGTTTTCCTCTTTTAATAATAAAATAAGAGATGTTATAAGGAATTTTTTTTTTTATTTAACATATTCGTTAAGATAACATTAGTAATTATAAGAACAAATTTCGCCAAGAGAAAAAAAAGTAAATTCAATACCTTTTTACAGCTTAAAATTTATTGTTATAGTTCAAGATAGTATTTAGGATAACTTGAATTAAATTAAAGAAAACAAAGTGTATTTTTATTATATGTGCATAAGGTAATTTACATGTGACAAAATATGTTATGTGGAATAACATTAAAACATTTTTTTTTTTCTGTCGTCATAAATGTGTTCATATTTAACTCCATTTTTTTAAATAAGCTTTGTCTATGTATGTATACAGGGTGTTTCAGGAATAAGTGGCCAAACTGAAAATATGAATTAAGGACCTCAAAACAAGAAAAAAAAATTCCTATGAAGGTATGTCTGCAAATGCTTTTTTCAGGAGTATTCACACCTAAAGATTTTTATTGCTATGAATTATTTATGTTATATTAAGTAAATAAAACTTATTAATTTGTTCCAAATACTTTATTAATTAAACGTAAACATAAAATTCATATTAAATGTTGTTCAAAGTGATTTCCTTGAGCATTAAGGCAGGCTTGGCATCCTTCTTCAACACAGCGGCAGTGGCAGAACGCCACTGGATGTGTGTTATTGTTTAACAAGATTCAATTATCTTTCTTCGTAAGGAATTAAGGTCATTGACCGGACTTGCATAGACTTTTTGTTTAATGTCATCCCAAAAAAAAAAAAATCCAGTGGTGCCAGGTCTGGAGAGCGTGCAGACCAAGCTACTGGTCCTTAACGGTCAATCCATTGATTGGAATAATTAACATTTAGCAGTTGTCGTGGACATCTTCCGTAATGTGCAGGACAACCATATTTACATTTAATTAATAAAGTAGTTTTTATTTTAAAATAAGTTTTATTTATTTCATATAACTAAAATAATTCACAACAATGAAAATCTTTAGGTGTGAATATCTCCTAAACAAAGCGTTGGCGGACATACCTTCAGAGGAAATTTTTTTTTGTTTTGAGGTACTTAGTCCATTTTTGCAGTTTGGCTACTTAACCCTGAAACACCATATATATATATATATATATATATATATATATATATATATATATATATATATATATATATATATATAAATATTTTTTTTTTTAAATAAATTTGCTAGAATACCATATCAAGAAAACATGCTAGTGGCAAAAATCATATGTGCCTCGAATGGACTTTCAACTTGCATAGTGCCATTGGTATGTGTGGGCATTCTACTAGCCATATCGCATTTTTCTACCTTAAAAAAAAAAAAGCACATTGCTTACCACGATAGCCTGAGGGGCTGCAGTCTTCTTGTACGCAACATGCAACATTGAGGTCAGCAACTGCATCTCAGCTAATCAAGGACATCAGGCTCAAGGAAATTTTTTAAGTGAAAACTTCTTTAGACGCATTTTGCAATTTCTGTTTCGGAGAGTGATTTCTGTGATGAAGAGTTCAAGACATCGTCCTCATCAAGATCGGACACTAAACAAAGGCCAACACGAGTTCCCAGTATGCAGAGAGTTCAAGTACCTGGGATCTCTTATGGTGGCAGAAAATGACGTAGGAGCTGAGGTAGGAGCCAGCGACTACTCATGTTTCGAAGACTATCAAGGAATGCCAGATTGACAATCTATAAAACATTGATTCGTCTGGTAGTCACATACGGAAGCGAAACGTGGGTTATCTCAGCAAAACATGAGAGGGCTCTTGGAGAGTGGGAGCGTAAGATTCTTAGGAGTATTTACGAGCCCGTATGCGAAGAAGGCGTTTGGAGGTCACGATACAATCGAGAGTTGCGACAACTCTACAGGGACGCAGATCTCATAAGTGTCATTAAGGCAGGACGAATAAGATGGTTAGGGCATGTGGAAAGGATGGCAGCGCACCAAGTAAAATATTATATGGGCGACCTGGAGGAGCAAGAAGGAGAGGAAGGCCACCACTCCATTGGCTGGAGGATGTTGAGGCGGGTTTGAGACAGCTTGGTGTCAGGCGGTAGAGGGCTGTTGCATTGGACCAAGACGAGTGGCGACGTATTGTTAAGAAGAGGCCCCAAGGCCGCTAAGACTCCAGGACTATAGCGCCGAGGAGTAAGTAAGTAACATCCTTAGCATATAAAAACCTTAAATATGCAATTTCACTTCCGTACGACTTTTTGAGCTAAACTGTTAACACACACATAAACACAGACAGTGGGCGGGGTGGCCGAATGGGCTAAGGCATGTGCACTGCACTGCTGTTGCCCGGCAACCTGACATATGAATCAAAGATATAAAAATAGTCACGAGTTCGGGTCCCGGTGCCAGGGGAGTCTTTTAAATCCCCGCTCACACCCCCTGGACCGGGAAAATCCCGTATAGCCTTAATGGCAAGGAAGGGAAGGACCCAAAAAAACTATTTTGAAATACTGGACATCTTTAACCAATATTTCTTTTTTTTTAAATCAAAAAAATTTTATACAAAATATTTACCCAAATTTTCTCTAACGTGTTATCAACTTTTCAATCTCATAACCGAAAAACTCAGAGTTTTAAGGAAAAATAAAACCAGAAAAGGCATTTTTTGGCCTCTGAATCATTTTAAAAAATGTTATCTTTTTGTGATAAATCTAGCGAATAAAGTGAGTTTAAAAGGACTTCGTAACACGGCTCATTTAATTTCGTCACTGTCTGTCATGAAACATGAGGTCCGGCGTTGTCGTGTAAGAGTATAGATCCGTTTCTACTAAACAATGCAGGTTGTTTCTTGACAGGTTTTTGATGCATTATTTCAATATCACTGGAGTACAATGTGGATGTGATAGTTTCACCTCCATTCCGCACCACACAGAAACCAATAATGTTTTTGGATGTAAATTTTTTCAAACCACCGGGCTAATGGTCTGTTCGTTAAAATACCCTACTCCAGATGCCGTGGTAATGTTTCTTGCAACTCAGGCTACTGAGTGCCCAAGTTTAAACTTATAAAAAAAAATTACTTAGACTTTGTGTGTTTCCATGATCATATTTGTTAATACTTAACAATGTGCAAACAACTGGAATGATAGTAAATATCAAAAAAGAGAGGAATAACAACGGCTCATTATAAACTTTAAACATAAACGGAATACACAAAAAAAGCCCAATAATCCCACTTAGAATTTCTGAAATAATAAAAATGGACATTTCATATTAAATGACTGAAAAAAAAGTATGATAAGAAAAATAATAGAATGATTAATACTCACAGATTACATCAAGGTGAACGCAATAATTACCTTAAGGGCAGCTGCAGAAGGATCCTTAGGGTCGTGTGTAAAAGGCTTAGGATCGTGCAAAGATTCGCTGAGCCGCCTCCTTATGTCACCGGGAGCAAAGAGCGGTGGCTCCCGAGAGTCACTCGACTCCTGAGAAAGTTGCGAAAGAGTGTCCCTTTCGATCGGCTTCTTGAGCTCAAGATACTAAAATTAAAAATTAAACTAAATTATAAAACCAAAGAAAAAATAAAATAAAAATACAAATGTCAGCTTAATATTTCAGAGTATGATTGAGCTACACTAGTTGTACTAGTGTGTAATCAACAGAATTCGTACTAGTGTGTAATCAACAATATTACAAAGGTATTACACGTTACAATGTGAATGACATACCGATTTCGTGCTCTTAATTCTTAAGGAATTTTGAAAAATGGGATGTGGATACATCAACATATTCTAATTTCAAAACGCAATAAATAACATGCACGTACATAATATTAAAACAACAGGTGTTGCAAATCGAGGAGAGCCTATACTCTACCTGAAGAATGCTGGGATTTCATAAAGGGTCTACCAATTATAGTTTATTGACGATATTCATTTCAGTAATTGAAACCGAAGCTAGTAATAATTTTAAAAAAAAAATGTACTGATTAATCTTAATACTATGGCTATAAATTTAATAAAGTAAAAAAAAAAAATAAAAGGCCTCCAGTAGGAGTTTAATTTAAAATAGTAATTTGTTAATACTACTTATAAATAATCTGAGGTACAGACCCCTTTTTATCAAATTATTAACATCCGTCCAAAACTTTGTAAATGATTCCTCTAATTGTAACTTACAAATATTTTATTTACGAAAATTCTCGTAATTGGGGCATTTTTAATCTGGAGATCGGCAAACTTTGTCTATTTAACTAGGTACTAAAAACTCATGAATACCCATTTGCTTTCCACTCGAATTATAAGATAATATGATCACACAAAGACAAAAAAAAATATAAAAAAAAAAAAAGGTGGCCTACAAAAATATTGGAACCTTTGGCGTGGCATCCATACCCAAAATGTCAAAATAACGAGGTTATATAGGCCAAATGGCTCAATATTTTTGTAGGCCACTTTTTTAGACTTTGTGATCATATCATCTTACGATTCAAGTGGAAAACTTGAATTCTTAGTACCTAATCAAATTGATAAAGTTTGCCATTCTCCAGATTGAAAATGCCCCAATTCTGAGAATTTCTGTTAATAAAATATTTGAAGGTTACGATGAGATGTAGCGTTTTACAGAGTTTTAGGCAGATGTTAATAATTTTATAAAAAGGGGTCTGTACCATGGACTAAAATTTTTTAATTTATTATTGTAGTTTTTATCAAATCCGCATGAAAAAGGTAAGAATAGAATAAAAGATTAATATAGATTTATATAATGGAAGCTTTTTAAAGTTATAAAATATTGTGACTGTTTGAAGTTTAATAAATTTTTTATTATAAATAAAAGGGTAGTTACTAATTTACAAGAGTTGCTTCACTTTGATGGGTGTGATGAAATCTTGTGATCACATTACAGATGGAATTCTGAGAATGGACGAGATTGTACAAAAGTAGACAGAGGTAACCGAACAATGTGGCAAGAACCCATTCGGACTGTGTACATCTCTTTTTAACGAGTGGAAATTGAAAGAAGAGATGTAATGAAAGCTATACATCACAATCCCCACATATATTATTACAGTAAGGCTCGAAATCGGTTTTGTACCAAATATAAGCTCCTGACATGCTCAAATACCATGAATGGGGTACTGTTGGATTCAGAATTTCACGGGGAGTTAGCGAATCGTATTCTCCACTTTTGCTTTTCTTTCTAAAATAAATAAAGTCGATACAAACTTTTTGCTGGGCTCCAATACTGGGACGGTAGTAGGTTTGTAGATCGATACGGGATGAATTGGATCTTAAAGATTTTGATGCGTACAGCAAGACCCTGATAGTTCCTCCAGAACTATCGGATCCTATGTTTTTAAGCCCCAAAACATACTATTTTTGAGATAACGCAAGGCAAATGGTTCGCATCCTCACAACCTTACATTAATTGTAGTACTATCATTGAATACATGTCTCATTTCGTCGACTTGAGGTCTCTATGATCGAGAGAGGAGGTGTTTATATAATTTATCGATGGAGTTTTTGATCGGCAAGCCATATCATCGTTAATTTTTCACCAAATCTCAAGATTGAGCCACCAATTTCGAAGGCTTCCTCCTTCTCCTTCAGGCAGGCAAAATAGTCTAATCAAAATAGTCCCAAAAATTCAGGCAAACAAACTTTATTTGCGAATAACTAAAAAATTACACACTTAAATTAATTTTTGTTTTCTTTGTCGATGATAATTATCGATAAAGTAACATTTGATTTCTTTATTTTTTGATACGTTGCATTATTTTATGTTCTTATTAATTTGGCATTTGAAAACAATATGCTGTGCAAATTTTTTGCACGGGCCTACTAGTCTAAATAAAGGGGGAATATATTAATACTCAACCAGTCTCTGAATTCCATTTCCATAGTGTGATCATGAAATCTTGAACCACCTATCATAGTGAATCACAGCCCTTGTAAAGAAAAAATAATAAAAATAATTCAAAACGAATCTTAAACTTCGTATGTTCTAATATCAATTAATATCGAACAGATAATAATGGGAATAATTAAGAGGACTATAAAAAAAATTATATATTAAAACTTACGTTAGGGATAAGGATGGTTAATGGGAATATCATACCTTTAAAAAATTACAATAAAAGAATACTTTGTGCCTCGGACTGACAGCACTTTTTAACTCCACTACCTGAAAACAGTAGAGGATGTCAAGATTTTTTTTTAGAATAAAACAACAACATTTAAAAGGTAGAGTGCGATTGATTAGCTTTACTGGCTAACGTGTTGTTGTATTTTTGAAGCGTTTAAGGTGATAATGCAAAGCAGAATACTAGAAGCACATTTAAAGCAAGTGATCATCGTTCTGTTATACTTAAATATAACAGATATCAGTCAAAACAAAGGATCGTTAATAGCAAGAGTGTACAATTTTGTTGTTTAAATATTGAAGTTGATGGATCATAAGCGACAGCAAATAAATTGGTATAAGATACCAAGATGATCCTAGAGCATATAACTGCAGATATTTTATAAAAAAAAAAAAACGCTACAAATTATTTCACAATGGTTTATTATTTCCAAACAATTATACATCTAAAGTAACAGTACCTTCCTAGTTACAAAGAAAAATAAATAAAAGGTGATTCCAATTATTGGACTAAACTTTTTTTCTTTAATCATTAGCAATATGCTAAAAAAAAATAGCATTACTTCAGTAACACATTCAAAATTTAAAAACCAAACAAAGGATGTAACATTTGGAGTAGAACATATAAAAAAAAACAGGAGACCATATCTTTGCTCCTAATTGTCTGATTTTATCGATTTTTTTTGGAAATTCCGTAAACTTTTAAAAAACCATATACTTACAATATCAACAAAAAAGTGTATGCTTTTTAAGTTATTCGGAACTAAATTTTACCACCCCTCGTAACTTTTTTTCCAGCTTCTTTTCGTTGAAGTATGTTATATAGATAAATTTAAAAGGCGTCAAGAAAACTACTTTAGCGAAGTTTCATTGAAATCGGTACATTCGTTTAGGAGCTACAGTCTATAGGAACGAAGGTTTTTCGGCCGCCATTTTGAAAGTAAAAGGCGGATAGTAATGTCGATGAAGGAGGATCATCCTCAGGTGACCTCTGATTTTATATCCAAATTTGAAAAAAATTGGTCCAGTAGTTTGGGAGAAAATGCGCGGATGGCGGACGGACAAAAAAATTTTTTTTTATTTTTTTTATTTTTATTTAAAATAATAAACCAAAAATTTATTTAGTCTCAAATAGGGGCTTGTCATGCAAAACTACAATAATTTAAAACGAATTTAGGGTGAACGCAACAATTATGGATAGGGAGCCAGATTCAACTTTAAATGTAAATAATAAGCTCCTATGTTGATTTAAATGTTCCAGTTTTGATAAGTGAATGAACAAAAGTTCCCAAAAGAAAACTTAAGAATGTCTATCATTGTTGTTTCTATAGTGATCTTGAGATCAGTGTATTTCCTTACCTGCCTACTAACAGTTTTGCTAAGAGTAAGTTGAACATTTATGTTACATTATCTTTATAGTTAAATAAAGATTTTAGAATTTTTCTGAGGTATGTCTATTACTGGTATCGACCACCTGTCCATTACTAGAACAATTGAATTTCGGGGTGTCCGTCACTAGTGCAAAAAGGTGTTTTTTTAAATGAAGATTATACCTGCATATTTATAACTGAACATTTTTTTCAATTTTAAAGTGCGAAATAGAAAAAGGAGACCCTAGAGATTCTAAATGTCCAATGGGTAAGTTCATAAATATAATAATTACAGTGGAATAGGCCAAAAATTTCCTAAGCTATTTCCATCACTGGTGCGCTAAGGTGACCCTAATTGTTCGCTTGAATAATGGAAAAACGTTCTAAATTATTTTAATATGTTATTGGAGGAAGTTAGTCGACTGTTCTACACATCATGGGTGATAAGTATTCAGGACGCTGTCAGTATAAAAACTTTATAATGACTGCGTCCTGAATATATATCACCCATATTTTAATATGTAATAAAATTAAAAATTAAATGCTATGTGAGCTTAGAGAAAACTTTAAATTGGTATTAAAAAGATCACTGCAGGATGTAATGGTACATATAAATTCTAGGTATAAAGGAATGGTAAAGACTTGAGAAAAAATGAAATTAAAAATGTTCGAAATTATTACACTATGATTTATTATTTCCAATTAGATATTTAAAAATAATAAATATATTTAAAAAAAAAAGAACCTGTACCACGACAACCCATGAAGGGTCTTGGGTTGAATATTTTGTAAGGAAGTGCTGTTTTTGGTCAACGGTTGTTCGAGGAGGTGATTTGACTGAGATCACACTCAACCTCCAGTTTTTTCTCTTCAATTAGTTATTTTATAAAAGAGAGTCCACTTTATGTACCTCAGGAGGGTCTCCTGATGCTAGGTTCGATCCAAGGCTGGTGTAACAGAATAAATAATTATCTGCCACAGACGGACTCGAATCCATGACCTGGAGCATAGGGGCACAGTGGCTTACTCACTGAACTGCTCCTGAATACACACAAGCACTCACACACACATTTATAAAAGATTTGATGATTCTAAAATACATAGTATATTTCCTCTATTTTCATGAGTGAATGAGAAATGGTCACAGAAACTTCTGGTTTTGAAACAAAATGGCAGATGGTTATGTAAGGTTCTTTGAAATCATTAGCAGGTGATTTGTAGAGTCCATCTAAGATAAGTTTGCCGGTGGATAGAGGAGAAGAGAGGTGCACAGTGGCAAAATGTTTTCCTGCCGATCACTCACTCATTTGTGCGTACTTCTACAATTTTTTTTACAAGTTGAAATTTCTTTCACCATTTTTTTTTTAAATTTCTTTTGAGAAATTAGAAGAAAATCGAACATAAAAAAAATGTGTTTCTGGTATGAGGTGAATACTATGGTGAAATGGGGAGGTAGAACTTGAATGGGGACTAGGAAACTGCGTGAGCTCCCTTCCCCTACGGGCAAACTTATCTTAGATGCACTATTACTTATGAAATAGCAGGGATGGCATGCCAACAATTTTTTTTCATTTTTTAATATAACTTATTGGAATGAAAAACCTCAACTTATATGAACCGATTAACATTTTTTTTTTTAATTCTTTATAGAAAACCAAAATAGAAATGAAACACTAATTGATACAATAGTGGAAAAAGATAATGTGTACAATATTTCTAAATATACATTCAAAATTTTACCAATAACCTTATATGTAAGAGTGATTTTGTACAAATAAAATAAAATTTATATATATTTTGTTTTTATAAATGTAAAAATAAAATAACGTTGAAAATCAGAAACTTGAAAATAAATTTAAATTGAATAACAAGATTGATATAATAACAGTAATATAAGCTTTTAAAATACAGCAAATATTTATGTTGATAAATATTCAAAATTAATGCGTTAAAAAAAAAGTTTTTAAAGTATTTCTGAACAATTATCAATTATAAAATTATCAAGCAACTCCCTTCTCCAAAAATCAATGCATTTAAAAATCTGCATTTTTTATGTTTTATTTATTTGGTTTAAAGCAAAGCTATTACAAAACAACATTCTTCAGATGTAGATCTATTTACCTGATGTGAGATATCCTCATCTTCTTGCGACCAGGAAGATTCTTCATCGGCATCATGATGGCTGTTGCCTCCAGAGGCAAGAAGATTCTCTTCAGATTTCGTTTGCCTAAGGCTGTTCATACTTTTAGAAACGAGCGGACAAGAAGCGATGTCATCAACTTCCACAACTTCGACATACAATATATACGGGGCCTGAAATTTAAAAGATACATATGTCATAAAAAAAAAACTGTTGAAAAAAAAAATTAACTATCAACGTTTGAAACGAACCTTATCTTTAGAGTTAAGGACTGCCGCGGCATTGGGAGGTATCCTGACAATGTGATGAGGAACGTGGGAATGTAAGGGAATCCAAACCCTCGCCGGCAGGTTGAGGTTCAGAGCAGATAACTCGGATATAAGTCTTGTCGTCCTCGCTTCCTTACTCGTAACAGTCGCTAGAGACTTACCGATATTGATTAGGCTCTTGATAAACTCAAGCTCTGGTTCTAAACGAGGTGCCTACAATTTAAAGAATATGAAATAAAATGTAAATTGTAAGAAATAAGTGAGGCATTTAGCTCCTAAACCATATAAGTTCAAAAATTATTGATATTAACACACACATAATTAAAAGCGTATATACTATAGTCCAAATAAAATTAATAATAAGTTTTCACAGGTTATTTCACCTAAAATGAGACAAATACAAATGATTTATGATATTTGAAAGCTGCCAAAACTCTTTGATATTTATAACCGTAAACCCTTAATGAGAAGATTTTTTTCATGAGACAGCCTATAATTTCAAAAATATAAAATAAATTTGCTTTATAAGCAACATTATAAAATATATTAAAATAGACTTAGCTGGTTCCAGAACTGTATGCCTCAAATAATAATTGATCAAATTAGACAATGAAAGCTTACGTCGCAAGTGCAAACAGTGCGTTTTCCTCGTAAATCATTCACTTTTCCTTGGCAGCTGTCGAAACATGTACAGCCATTGTCAAAACCACGACCGGAATTCAAATCACCCAAACAGACACGATTGTTGCCTGAAAAATAAATCAAAATTTAATTTTTGTTTTAAAAGATATAATAAAGGTATAAGACAAAAAAAACAGTATAACTCCGTTTTGTGATTTTGGAGAGATTTTGTAGCTCTCTAAAACAAAAGAAGCAATATTTTTTTAAAACTTAAGTTCTAAAGGTAGCAATATTGTTATTACTTAATTAGGACACTCCTGAGCTAGCTTTTGCTAAAAAATGTCCTAAATCTTATCGAGCTTCATCTCCTCAGTTCAACCATTTCAAAACTAGTCTTTTATACTTATATCATCTAGCTCCTTTCGTTCATCTTCTCTATTAATCAATACCATCTCAACAAACTTTACTCAAAGGAATAACAGCAGTTGTTTCTGTTTTGATAACTTGTTTGTCAATTTGCTGTTCGTTTTTCGTATCCTTTGTTAAATATAAATAAGTTCCTTTATGAATTTCGTAAGATATTTTAACTATTAAATAAGGATGAGACATTTAAATAAGGAAAATAATCATTCTAAATAGTTCATCTAAAATAATGTGCACGAATAATAATTTACTGATACATAATAGCAAACTACATTTTAAAATAACCATCAATAAGGAATGATATTAATAAATAGAAAAATAATCTATACTTCAATTTCGAATGATGTCCGACCTAATTCATGAATTCTTTTATTCTTATCAAAAGTGTTATTTTTACTTATCCAAATCGTCATAATAAATTCATGAATTAAAAACATTTTTATAAGTTTCATTGTTCGATTTTTATTTTTTTAAATTAATGTTTTAACCACCAAAGTGAATTTTAATTTTCTTCTGATGTAAAACTTTATCTATTACAGTTTTTTCCTCTCTACCTTTCAAATATTAAAAGTGATATTCAATATGAGTAAAATATATTCAATTCAATATTTTTAGAAACGAAAAGTTCCCTAAGAATAGTAACAGTGTTCAGTAAATATGTTCAACAGTCTAGCATGTAGAAATAATACAAATATACAAAATAAATAAATAAAATGGCTCTTATCAATTAATTGTTAGTAAGCAATTGCAATTACATAATCCAATAATTCTTACATGGTTTTGAAAGTTTGAATGTGAAGTAGGTTGTGGACTAGGAGTTGTTTGACGTATGGAAATAGTTAAGGAGTTCCAAAAGAAAGTAACATGAATGACAAAGAATTTGCTAAAGGAAGTGATTTTATGGGAGAAAATATATAGATTTATAGGTTGAGATCTGGTGTCAAGAGAGTGGATAGAGGAATGTGGAGTAAGAAATTCTAGGATTTAAGGAGTACTTGGAAATGGAATATACCATGGAGGAATTACCGCCATGGAAGCAGGATAGAGCCAATTTAACTCGGTGTACCAGGAGGAAGTATGAGAACGTCTGGGAATCCCAAAAATGAATTTTATAAAGTAATTCATGAGTCTCTTCAACCTCATATCAAATCTTGCAGGCAGCCCTCTATACACCAACCAACCATAATCGAAGTGGAGGAAAAGTTTGCAAGGAGCTCTCTGGTTTTGTTAGGAATAGAATCACAGAATCTTATAAACCGTTTTAACCATAGAAATTGAAAAAATACATTATTACAAAATTAAAATTTAATTTAGATAAAAAAATAAAGTACCTGAGGATTGCGAATTGATGGCAGAAGCATCCGAACGGGACCTGTGATGCGTCCTCTTGACCTGCCCCTGGGGAGGTGGCGATGAAGGGAGCAGGCTGTTAGTCGTTCCTTCCTTTACCCTCGATATCCTTCTGCATCCCTGCTCACTATCTCTAGGTCTATTAGGAAAAATAATCATTATTAAACAATAATAATTGTTGTACAAATAAAAATGGTTACATGCTGTAATTAATTTAGTTTTCTAATGTAATTATGTGTTTAGTTGAAACATACGACATACCCACTTCCAGGTAAGAGGAAAATTAAATAAAAACAACAATGTTATGGAGGTACAGACATCCTGTTATCTCATCATTAACAACTATTTAAAACTTCGTGAATGGCTTCATCTTATCATAACCTATAACATTTTTATATACGAAAATTCTCAGAAATTTGGGGCGTTTTCTCATTAAATTAATTAATTTAAAATTAATTAAAATTAAGTACTAAAATAAAATCTGGTGCGTGCAACACACAACTTTCACTTACCCCTCTACTTTATTTTCTTTCTTCTTTAGAAATTATTTTCTGGGAATGTTGGGCTATTATAAAATTTTTGAAGTGCATTTTAAACGGAGCTAAAGCTTAAAGCTTACAGATAACAAATCATTAAGACCATTATAATTACAAAAAGTCTATTTATTATATCGGCAGTAGGCAATAAAAATCTAGTCACTCCATCTGCTTTTATAAACCATACAACTTCGGTCTCAGAGCCTTTCAGTTGAATTCTGTCAAATAACTCCAATTTCAACATTTTAGAGTAATGTCATTTTAGTGATATTTCTAGTTGAAAAAGTTATTTATACAGACAGTGAGTAAGTTGATTCCACAGTAGGTGACTAAAATTAATAATAAAGAATGTTGAAATTGGAGTTAGTCATTCTGTCAACCGAAAGGCTCATATATGCCTGCAGAGGTTTGAAAGTATATCTGAATATTTAACCTATAAATGATTACGGACTGTAGGACTATCAGTTATTGACTATTAGTTATTCGTTTTAGTAAATTTTCCATTGTAAAGTTTACTAAAACGAAATTACGAGATTTTCATCTGCCATGGACAGGTCAAAAGTTGTCACACTAATTGTAAGTGGGTCATGTTGGGATTTCACAAAGGGAAAATTCATCAAATTATTCACTAATTTAATTTTATAAAAGGTTACTTGATGATTTTTTGGAATAAATGACCGATAGATATCTAATTATTTAAATATAATATCTTATCTAGAGTTACTAATCTATAATAAATATATTTGCTGTTAATAAACGCTCCCATGAAATATTTTTATATTTTACTTCTTTTTTCACACAAGTAGTATGACATAGTATTTTAAACAATGGCATTGGCTTGATTCGGTGGATTTTGAATACTTTTTTTTTCAATCTTAGAAAAACATTTAAAAGTTTACATATAGTAAGTAAATTTCATTTAATTTTCTTGGAAACATGTGACTTACGTTAAATAATGTTAGTTTTCAAAAATTATTATTTATAATATTTTTGCCACTCTCCTTTACCTTCTACAACCTTCTATATTAGATATTGTTTTTTCTAAAATTCACCGCTTTCCAACAATATATTATACATATACCTTCTGACTAGTAATTCCAGAGAATTATTTTTGACCTGGATTAGCGTTTTTTTTTTTTTTTTTTTTTTCTCCTTTATTCAATTATCAAATTCTTTCAAAAGTTATATTTAGCATTTTCTCGTAACTCTGAATAATGTGAAATGATTTACTTTTTAAAATAATCTGTATTAAAGGTACTTTAGAGGAAGACGTACATGAACATTGTGCATTTAAGCCCTGTAAAGTGACATCAACGGAAATAAGACCTGATTGATATTTAAGACCAAGTAATTATACAATGATACACGGAGTTTAATAAAAATCGTTTGAGCCGTTTATGAGAAAATTGTGAAAATGTGTTTCAGTGTCGATTTTAAGGAAAAAGTTGCTGTAACATTCCAGGCATGCACAAACATTAAATACTTATAATTTAAATTGTTAATGACTTTTTGATTTTGAGCTAGACTGTTCACATACACACACACATACAGATCATTGATGTGAAATAGTTAATTATTTCAAATAAAAAAAATTAAAGTTACTTTAAGGAGGAAATTTTGAAAATTAGACCCTGTTAGAGAACATCAATGAGAATAAGACCTACATTATATTTAAAAACTGCTTAATTTTACACTGATATAATGAACTTAATCAAAATCGTTAGAGCCGTTTTCGAGAAAATGTGTAGAATCGATGATATAAAGTGGCACTTCCAATCAGCCGATTTTGATGAAAAAGTTGCTGTAACATCTCAGGCATGTACTACTTAATTTAAATTCTAAATGACTTTTTGATTTTGAGCTAGACTGTTCACATACACGCACACACAGACCATTTTGCGGGTCTTGTGTGTTATGTCGACTCAAGGGACTCGGGAAATGAATCTTGACATTATCATTCTGGTAAGTACATGTCGGCAACTTCAAGGTAGCCGTCAGTAGTTAGCAAAAAGGACCAGTACCAATAGGCGTCAGGGACCAAAAAAGTACAAAACAAAAAAATAAGTCACAAAAGTAGTCCAGCCATTTGAGATTGGCACAGGGAGAGACCAATGGCTGAAAATAAGTTTTGTATTTTTTTTTACTCAAGGTGCTCTGAATAGTTAAGATCTGTTGATAAATGCACATCAAAAATTTGACACAACTACAAAATTGTTTCCTTAACTAGCGACAGTAGGAAAGTAAAAAAATAATAATGGTAATCAGATAAGATTAATCAAAACAAAATGAAAACGGTTTGGTTAGGCATCATACTTTTAAAATACAGTTCAATCACACTGGAATGTTTATTTTTTAATGAAAAAATACTCTAAACATGTAAATATCAATAAAATACAAAATTGGAATATTGTCATCATTAAAAGCGGTTATTAATATTGTTATTTGAAAACAATCTAAAGCAGGAATAGTAAATAAATAATGATAAGTTGAAAAAACCATCAACCAAAAAGGAAAATAAGAAATAATAACTTTTATAAAAATTTAATACAAAAACAAAATTGAATGTCATAACTTCCAAAATTAGGTTTGTATATCCCATTATCCAAAGAGATAAGATAACATTTTGCAACAATAAATGGATCGTAAAAAGATGTCCAAATTATCTTTAAACTGTTAACCAAGATTATTTTTACAATGCTTTTCCTTTTATCTTGAGTAAACAATTTTTGTTAATTTTATTGATACAAAACTAACACCAAGTCTACATTGCCAGATAACAACATTGAACCCAAAAACATTCAATTTTAATATTTTAAAATACAAGCAAATAATAAACAATTAGTAATAGAAAATTTTAAGATCTACTAAGGCAGACAATCTTATATCAATATTTCAGAATCATAGGAGGAATTAAAATAATTTCTATACTTTTTAAAATTAATTCTACTTAGATACTTTTTCTAATAATTTCAACTATTAATTAATAAATAATCAAACTGATTGGAGTACCACCCTCTAGAAAGATTTATTAAGTACAACTAACTGTATTTTAAGTTCAACTTTTACATTAAGAAACAAATTTCTTTTATTAATATAGATTTAAAATTAAAAAATTCATGATATCTATTAGAACATGGGTCAAATACATTAGTAACAATAAGTAGTTATCATTATAATAACAATAATATAATTTATTTGTATATTCTTAAAGATTTAATTAATTTTTAATTTTAAAAAATATTAAATTTTATTCGTAGAAGTTGGTTGGGATCCAATAAAAAGTGAAAATCCTTTTTATTTTATAATATTTTTGCCAATGTTTTGTCATAATTTAAAAATTAATTCGATTTTTCAAGATTTCAGAGAGGCAGCCCTGACGAAGGCTAAAAACTTACTTGAGTTAAAATGTTGACACAAATAAAATAAAATAATTACACTTTCAATTTTGATAGCAATCCCAACAACAACACTTCGGTGAAAAAGTTTCTTTTTTAAGGAAATTCTAGGAAGGGATAAAAAAAAGTGTTATTTTTATCAACCAAAGCCAAATCTCAGCACAGTTTAATCTATTCTTTTAAATAATATAAGTAAAACGTGAAATTACAAATAATATTTCATATTATTTTGTATATATTTAGCAAGAGGAGATTTTTAAATCCGTTCTGAGGGGAAAATCTGACTTAAAATAGTGGAAACAATTATAATAATTTTAATGTGAAGTGACTTATTTATTGTATACATCTGCATACAAGTGAATTTACGTTGAAAACTGGCAAAATTTATTTCATTTTTTACATATATTTAATTGCAAAATGTAAATGTATGGAACAATACAAAAGTCATAAAATTGTTAATTTCAACAAAAGCAATGCATTTCAAACTTCTGTAGTTACTTCTTTGAAATAACAGTTTTGCTTTAAGCTATTTTGTTTCCCACTTTATGTACGTTTAAGTGCTTAACTGACTGTTATATATAAATAAAAATGTATCCATTTTAATTAATTTTTGAATAATTCAATTTTATTTTATTTAAGATTATAATTGTTTTCTTGAACTGAGAACAATTCTTATCTTTATTTCAATTTTAAATACTCCAATCTTAATATTGTCAATTTATTGCAAACATTATTAAAGGACATTTCTTAACATCCAAGAATTAAAAATTTTAATGAATTTTCCCTTTGTAGAATCAGAAAATTATACACTTATTGTAACCATATGTGAAATTTTTTTATTCATTTTAATGCATTTATGGTGTCTTTGTATAAATAAATATGGTTCAAATTCACAAAAACATACTTCAAAGTTAACTTATATCGATAATGCACTTAAGAGACTTTTTCAATAAACCGCTGATAGATTAATCAATAACTAATAAATAACAGTTAATATAAATTAATAGTTTATTTGTAATGGAATAACAAAAACAATGCAACAATATTTTAGAAACAAGCTATATCAATTATGATAAAAAAAATAAATAAAACTAAAAACTTGAACTTCAACTTCAATTAATTAACATTTAGAAAAAGATATTAAGATAGGAAAGATTAAAGAGGCATTGGATTTCTAAATGGAGGTCAGAGACTAATTACATCAGGAAGTTGCCTTGACCGCCCTCGTCTCTATCAGATAGAGGAAATGGCGATCGATAAGGCAGTTTATATCCTGTCCAAATGTACTATAACCCCCCTTCCCTCCCTTCAATAGCTTCGGTTTTCTTATTCAATTATATCATTATTTAAAAATAATAATAATAATATATATATATATATATATATATATATATATATATATATGTGTGTATATATATATATATATATATATATAGAGAGAGAGAGAGAGAGAGAGAAATAATATACATGAATATTTAAACTATAGAACAAAAAGCTATTTATTATTCAAATTAAACAGTAAAACATAAATTCATAGATCCATTCACAAATATTAAATTTATTCTTTAGATATTTAATTAAAACACCAGTACACAGAAGCAGGGAATTCCAGTAGATTGCAAAAGAAACATTGTTCATGATAACCGATATCTCCATTATCACTGCTTTCAAAATCAGTATACTATTTTTCATCATGTATATTCATTTAAAGTATAGCTCATTTTTAAAATCTAATGTAACAAACATATATTTACGAGAGGAAAATAAAATAAATAAATATTTTATTCATAAATATATTTTTTCGAAGCAGCCTTGGATATTTCCATGAAAATAGAATGCCATTAGAACAGTTTTGTATGTTCAATAAAGACTAAAACCTTGAAATTTTAATTTTTAATATTTTATTTAAATTAATTATATAATTCACTATTGTCTGAATTATTGAATATTAATTAAATTGCAAAAATAGAAATAAAAATTAATATCAACCAGCCTACACAAAATTCAAATAAACATAAAAATTAAATATTGACTATTTGTATATTTTTATCTTTATTTATTAAGAATTATTTAAATAATTTAATTTAAAATAGATTAGTTTAAAACTAAAAATTAAAAGAAGTGCAATAAATAATATTTTTGCGTGAGGTTGCCAAGGTTAATTTTACTACTTCAATAGAGGAATCTAATTCCTGGGTCTAAACATTTCACATTTCTAGTCTCAGAAATATATAAATATATATATATATATATATATATATATATATATATATATATATATATATATATATATATATATATTAATACTTATAAAATGGAAAGTGCCATTCTGATTTAATTGTATTAGTAAAAAGAGAATAAATTATTTGCCTAAATTAAAAATGGTGCTAATTATTACACAACGGTTTATTAATTCCAAATATCAATACATCAAATTATTTATTTTTCTTAGCACTTAAAGGAAAAATGTCTGCAAAAGAACTTTTTTATTTTTAAATTATTTATTAACAGATATATACAACAATCTATATTGATTCAGTTGAGGACCAAAACATGGTAGATCGGCATTTCAAAAGAACATATGATAAATTTTCAGGATATAATATATCTGCACCAAATCGTCCAATTCCAATGTTTTTTTTTAAATTCGTGAACCATCAAAAAAGCATATACAAGATTACAAAAAAAGAGCATACTTTATGAATTATTCAGAAATCTAATTTTTGCTTCTCCCATAATTTTTTCCCAGCTTCTTTTCAGTGAAGTATGTTATATAAATAAATTTGGAGAACTTCGAGGAAAATACTTTAGGCAATTTTGTTAAAATCGTAATGCATCTGTTAATGCACTACAATTCATAGCGACACACGGTTTTTAGCTACCATTTTGTAAGGAAAAAGCAGATGGTAATGTCGAGGTAGGATGAACATCCTCAGGTGATCTCAGAGATTTGATTCCGAATCTCAAAAAAACAGGCGCAGTTGTTTCGGAGACAAAATTATTTTTATTGTATTTTTTGGTTTTACGTATCGTGGAACATAATATATATATATATATATATATATGCTTGACACCTAGATAAACATAAACATAAAAAAAGTGCACTTACTTTAATACTCCCGAAAGAATAAGATTCTTAAGCTTAGTGCCATGTGACTTCTTCTTTGTAGAGAGGGCTGCATCAGAACTATAGGCGTCCAAAAGCCACGAACATTTGAGAGAAAAATCTACGCTTTCTCGACACCTAAGACAGGAAAAACAATTAAGACAGATATAAATTTAATTATATAAGCGGGGTTCTGAAATAAGAAAATTTTATAAAAATAAATGGTTTTATACCTATGGACAAGGTAGGGATGGATAACTTCTGCTACGTCAGGCATTTGAATGTACATATTTACAAGTTGAGGTAAATAGAAATCGACTTCTTCATTCGGAAAACTAAATAACTTATTACCTGAAAAAAAAAAAATATATATATATATACATAAAATAATAAATAAATATGATCTATTAGCTATATAACATCAAATTGTAGGTGTTTCCAAAATCAGTGCTGATCTCATAGAGGGCATTGTAAATCAATCAGACCGTCTCTAAACTTATCAACCAGTTCCACCGAACACGCTACACTATTATTTCCTTATGAACCAATCAAAATCAATACTAGAGAATATTTTTAAACTTGACACTTATTCTCGGTTATGTCTTTCATTTTATTATTTTAATACACTTAGGCTATGTGTTCTGTTACATTCCAATTGGATCCAGCAGGTCATTTCTAAACTAAGCACAAATCACTGTAAATCGGTTCTGTTTTCTAAATCGATTCCATCTAAGAAATTAGCATTGAATTTAGAAACTTGCCCGATGATATTAAATATCCACTAGAATTTCGGACTCGTGTTCAGATTTAAAAAAAAAAAAATTATATGGAAAAAGTAAATCCAATACATTTTTATTAGATATTTTATTTATTTAACTAGATAAATCACAAACAGGCGCTGTGCCGAATGATACTTGAGAGAGGGAGAGGCAAAAACAAAAAATCTATCAATTTGATTAGTAGGAGAAAAAATTCAAATTTCAATAGCTTGAATAGAATATAAGTGAACTTCAATTTTAAAAAATACGATATATTTATTTAGAAATTTTTTTTTTAATTTTTCTGAAATTTTTTAAGTTGAATGTTTTACTTATCTGTTAAAATAATTTTCTATTGTATTCAAACAGAGCATTCTTTCAATAAAATCACAATTACTTAATATAAACTGTTTCACTACAATTTTTAGTACCTGAAGTATTTTCTCAAATTTTGAATTTCATCAATGTTTTTGATTTACAAATTATTGAGGAGAGGATAGAAATCTCCCACTCATAATCATAATGATGTCCCTGACCAAACATCATATATGGACACTTTTAAATAATTTTATATCTCATCCTTAAATCTCATTCCCATTATTTGGTAGAAAAATACCAAAATATATAAAGCAGTTTTAATCGAGCATAACATTTATCAATTCTTTAGAGATTTAGAAGGTTGATAGCGGAGGAGTTTGATTAAAATTAATTAAAACCACTGAGACAATTACCTAGATAGCTTTGTACACCCGGTTCCTTCGAATTAAACAGATACATGATGGCCATTGATGTATCGAAATGTGTCGATTCGAACAACCTCAAGAGTAGGCCGTTCGAGGAGTTAGGCTTCACTGTCTGCGGCTGCGGTTCTCCGGAACCGATCTCTTCCTCGGCAATATCCCTCTCCGTCAGCACCCTCTCCCCTTCTCCTACGCTGAGGCTCTCGTCAGAATGGTGAGTTGAAGTTGATTCAGTCCTTTCAGATCTAAACCCATAAAAAAGATATATAAAAATAATAAATTAAATAAAAATGAAAATAAAGATATCTGTAGTAATCTAATACTATAAAACTCTTTTAGATAGATAGATAGATAGAAAATAACTTTATTCTGGGACATAGTCCCTTGAGAATAACAAAATTAAAAGATTACATCTGGCCAAAATAAAATCAATGGATAAAAAGAAATAATGTAAAGAAAATATAAGGTAAACATTCTATATACAAAACAAACGAAACTATATACAAAACAATTAACACTATGACAAGATACTTAAAGCTATTAGCACTGATGGACCAGTATACACTTTTAAGAAAACAATAAAGAATTAAAAAATAAAAATATATTAAATTTTTTATTAAAATAAGCTTTGTGTTTCTGTTGAGAAAACAGAAAGCTGAATCTGACAATATTAAGTGCCTGATTAATATATAAATATATTATCATTTAGCATTGATATTTGACAATGAATGGCATGAAATAAATGTATGTTGTCGAATGGTTAGCAAATATCTGACTGTTTTGGGGATAGAGATTGGAATAGGAGGGTTTTGAATGTGGATATGGATGGGGAATGTCGAATTTTGATAGGGAGGGAATTCCAGAAATTGACAGAGCGAGCAATAAAGGAGTTTTGGAATGAAGCAGATCTGTGAGAAGGCATGTAAAGGTTAGAAGATCGAGATCTTGTGGACAGGGAATGAACTGAGGATTTGAACTGTAGAAGGTTGTAGGCGTAAGAAGGACGATGATTGTTGATGAATTGGTACAGGAATGTACCTACGTTTTAAAATGTTAAGTTTCTCAAAAAAAGTTGGTATTGTAGTTAAAATTTTTAACTAGGTGCCAGCAAAGTAATCATACTATGGAACATCACTTCGAGTGTTGTTTAACAAACATTTCTATGAACTTAACTTTACGTATGGATTGTCCCATAAATATTTATCTAGTTTATGTTATGAATGGAAAACTCCAAACAACAAAACCATGAGTCTCCAACATATAAGTGAAAAGTAAACTTTCGCCAATTCAGGCATAATCAGGGCAGAAAAATCAAGATCACATACATACAGAAAGAAAAAACCAAAAGGGGGAAAAAATAAAATAATTCAGTAGACATCTCATGAAGCCATCCAAATACATACAGGTTCTATTAAGAACTAAGGAAGGTTACATTGACAGCTGATATACATAACACAAGGGAGAAAAAAAATTCATCAAATCACTAAAAGCTATATGAATGTGAACACTATGCGCTTCTTCACATCTTCTCTGACAAAAGTACAATACAAGTTTTAATTTAGTTTTCATGGAAACACTAAGTTTTCATTAAATAATATAGAAAATAGAGGTATGATGGTTGACTGCAGTGAATAATTGGAGAGAAGTTGGTTGGGGTGTTGAATCAAAAATAAACAAATTAAAAATATATAAATGATTTTAATATTTGCCTACGTTTAGGCCCAAAATTTAGGGTTTCATCAGAGCTAAGAAAAGACAAGATAACAATATGAGAAACTATTAACTTATGAAAAAATAATAATAATGTAAGGAACATAGAGAGGAACTTATAAAATAACTAATAACAGTATTGTTATTACAATACTTTCCATGACTATATATTCCCTATGAAGGTTCATGAAAGTAATTATAAATACTGTATTAAATATACCTTATTGTCGAAAGTAGATCAAATTTGGGCTCGGGAGGTGCTTTTGGGACAGTGATAACTTTTTTTTTATATAATGAGCCGGCTACAAATTAATTATTTCTTGGAAAAGTAGGGCATATTTCTAAGTTTGTAATTTAAAAACAAAAATTTAAAATCTTTGAAGGATTACAGTAGATAGTGTGGCGGGTAAGTTGCTCATCCCTTTTCCTAGGATAAATCAAGCCTTTAAACAGTGTAAGCGAAAACTAGACATTTGAGCATGATGCTATCATATTATTTCCTGATATTAATGTTGATTAACAATTAATACTCTAATATAAATCAGTGCAACCCAATATTAGTCTAGTAATAAAGATTAATTATTACTTCAATTTCTTATCACTAAAATTGATTAAAAAAAATACACTCATAAAAATAATTATTAATATATTTTATAAGCTCTTAACATAGAATTAGAAAGTTGATATAAATCCAGATGTTTTAATTTTATCAGTACGATGCAAATGAATAACAAATAAGTTAAAATTTAAAAGATATTCTTAATATCATTATAAGTAGTACACTAATTCAAGAGATACTTTATCTTTCCTTTTCTTAAATCTTTACAATACTTAAATAATACATATCCTATGTTGAAAACAGTTTGGTCACCATAATTTTTCTATAATGGTATGTTATAGAAAGAGAAAAATAATCTTCCTAACACTTACCCACAGATTATCCCAGAATCATCAGATACAGGCTGAGCTTCAATTTCTGGACTAGGAGTTGCATCGGCTTCAGGAATTTTTTGAAGAACTGAGTCAAGACTTCGGTTCCGCTGGTGATAGCTCCCGACAAGATTAACTCCAGGTACTGATACGCCCATAGTCCTTCGGAGAAAAAAGTTAGCAAAATTAAATTTAAAACGTGTATGCTAATGTACTACTCAAATAATCCCGAATAAATATCATTTAATTATAAAAATGTTATTGGAATATAATACATAACTAACACTAAAATATCTTCAGAACTTTTTAATTTTCTTGAAGTTATCATAACTCATTCAAACTCTATGATTAAGGACATTTAAACCTAAGAATATTCGAAAAAAAAAAAAAAAATCCAAAACTCTATTTCACACTAATTAAACCTAATTATACAGCTAAACATAGTTGTGAGAATTATCAAATAACCAAATAATAAATAGAATTGCACGTTATATTTTGTTTAAATTACAATAATAATCTATAAATATGTATTTCAAAAAAAATCAATAATGCAGTATACCAAACAAGAAAACTATTTATTTGTTTATAGGAATAAAAAAAATATTTAAACTGACTTAAGCTATCATTTTAACTTTTATAAACAGTTGTTAAAATAATTTGTAAATATTCTTATTGTTGTCATAATTAAGTTTAAATGTTACAGATAATTTTTTTTTAAATAAATAGTTAATTAAATAACAATAATAAATATTGTTCCAGATTTCAAATGAATGAAAGTTGAAAGCTCTTATTTGAAGATTTCATTTCCTCTCCTTTCCCTTGCTTGTTCATGCATCTAGCATTAATTAACGAGACATGTTCAAATGATCATGTCATAAGTAACGATATGAATAAAATATTTTAAATTAAAAATCTATACCATTTTTTTTTTTCAAAAAGAAAAACAATTCATTAAATGTAATAAAATTAAACATTTAACACTTGACAAAAAACAAGCCAATAAAACTATTGAAAAAATACCGTATATAATATATTTTTATATCCAAAAAAAACATCAAATCAGATAGCCTCTACATGACCTTCACTGGCCTCATAAGTCAGGAATTTAGTGAATGCATAAATTTCCAGGAACTAGTACTTATCAAGAGAATTATCTTCAAGTACAATTTAAACAAAAACTATAAGAAAAATACATTTTAATTTGTTTGTAAGAGTATACAATGTTAACTAATTAATGTATCATTTGTATTGGCAGAGAGGAACCTGTACCATATAAATATTTATGCAAACTAATTGCACAATGACAGGTTTTGGGTTATTTTTAAACCTTTACAATAAACAGAAGCCAAATTTGAGTGTTAATATATTCGATGCATGTCAGTGATATGTTTGTCAAATATATAAACAGAACAGAACAGTCTTCAAATTAGTATATATGTAATTTTTTTTTTATGATAAACACTCACCGAAAATCAAGGCTCAAATTTCTCTGATGACAGAATCTGGGATTAGGCCTGGCATGAACTGGAGGTACTGGTACAGCCAGCTTTGAGCGTTGTATCTCACTCATTATAATATCAAGAAAATAATTCACTTTGCATATTTACTAATCTTTTCGACCCTAACATCATTTATTCAGGAGATAAACACACCAACACTAACATGACATATTTCTTCACAAGATTCCTTCTTACAGCACTCTCACCGAAATAACTAAAAAAATCCGATTTAAAATAGGTATTTTGACGTTATTTCAATTGCACAGAAGAAAACGAAATATATTTGCGAAATCATAACCATTGAAGATCAAATAGCCTCAATTATCGCGGAGGTTAGACTGGGCATATTTAACAGGGCTTGGCCCAGCTTGATTTATCTTTGATTCAATTAAGCTATGTGACATTATAACTGTTAAGAACTAAAATTGATAACAACAAAAAATGTCTTAGAGGATATTCCTACATTTCCTTCCATCCGTTTTTATTTTATATCAAAACCGTACTTGAACAAACATGAAATCAGAATTCGCCAACTCTTGGTCAACCATAATTAATATTTGACAGTTGTGTTGTCAGCAAAGCCTGGTTAATCCGGCTTAAGTTCGCGAAATAAATATTACCACTTAATGACCAATAAAAAACGTCTTAATTAAAATAAAACAATTTTCCATCAATTAAAATATTTATTCGCTTACTCAGAATTTTTTAGTGGTTCCACTTAGATTTATTTTCGACAAAGCGTTTTTGTCAATAAACGTTGTGATAACATAACCTCAACAGAAATATTTCAAGTGCATAATAAGTTAAAATTGACAAATAGTTTGTTTCTTTTCTACCGCGAGTGACTTTTATAATGTGTCCATTCGATTAAAGACATTGTTTTATTACAAGAACAATGAATGCCACCAGTTTATACGTTTCTACATGTAGATTGGTTTTACAAGCTCAAGCCAACGATTCCTCTACATGGCACGACTTATACAAACTATTTCCTTGTCTGAGACAGTCTTTATCTTGTTATGTTTGTGGTCATTTGCTAATTGAGCCTTATACTCCGACAGAAAGCAACTGTCAACACCATGTATGCAGATCTTGCAAAGGTGGAAAGAAAAAACTTAGGTCGACTTGTAGCTGGTGTAAAGATTATAATAAATACATTGAAAATGTTCAATTAAGGACACTATTGCAATGTTATAAGAAACTTTGCCAATACATCACAAGTTCTCAAATATATAGGAACTTATGTGCTTTGCCATCAAGTTCAACAAATAATAACAATGGCTCGAATGATAATAAAACACTTTTAGATATAATTAAAGAAGGGACTGGATTTAAAGATGATTTTAAATTAAATTCATCTCTTTTAAATGTATCGATGATATCTAATTCAGTCAAGAGTATTTCTACTCAAACGTTCAATCTTGATAAAACTCAAGAAAATAACAGAAACAGAAACAATGTCCCTGTTGAAAATGGGCAAAGTACTTACTCTGTTACTAATAATGGTAATCGGCTAACCTTCAAAAGGACTGCTAAAGAAATAAATGATATCAATCTGAGAAACGGTGATGCTGAAAAGGTATTAATTTAGCTTTGTTTAATTAAATACAAGTTATATGATAGTGAGTGAATGTTTAATTACTGTGTTCTGATTAGGGTACAAAAGTTAATAAGGTGAGAAAAAGATCAGTTTACAATAAGTTACCTACCTGCCGTTGTGGTCAGAACACACCGGCCAAGGGAACATGCAGAGGATATCGCTGCCCTTGTTATAGTGGTGATAAGCCTTGCACTGAAGACTGCAATTGTGTCGCTTGTAAAAATCCGAGAGGGACTCCACCACCCAAGGTAGTAACTTCCACAATGGTACTGGATGTATGCTTACTACTAACAAAATGTTTCCTCGTCTTTCCAGTTGTAACAATGGATTATATCTAGCATGTGGCAGTCTTTTTCTCATTTTATTTAAAAAAATATATCTTGCGCAGGGATTTGTGCATGAATAACGATCATACAATATTGTCTCGTTTGAATTCAATTCAACTTTGTCTTTGTCTTATATCCATTTATTTAGTTGGCCACTGGTGATCACTCATTATAATCCCTCGGACCCAAATGGAGCGTGGAATGACAGTCAGTGTAAAATCCTGTTTAGATTTAATGGAATGTTGGTCTTAAATTCGATCATATCACTGCAAAAACCCATCGTGAGTGTGGATCAAGGAGCTGCACAGTTTTTGTGCTGTGCTGTAATAAAATTGTTGGTCAGTAAAAATAACATTGTTAATATTTATGTCGCCATTGCTAAAAGTATGTTACAAAATTATTTATTACGAATAACATAAAATTTTGTTTTATTTCATAATTAATAATGCTACTACTTTACACGTGTTGCTCTACTTTGATGGGTGGCTTATAATCACACTATACATGAAATTGCCGATAATGACCATATGTCTCAAGGTAGGTAAAGATGACTGAACCGTTGGTGATGTCTCACCCTGGACTAAAAAGACTGTTGGTGGTTTGTTTATTCATTTTGAACAAGCCTTATTAAAAGTAGCGACGTAATTTAAGGTAGAGTCCGTCTAAGATAAGTATGCCGGTGGGTAGAGGGTAGAAAGTGGCTAAACATTTTCCTGCCGATTCCCCACTCTTTTGTATTCACTCATTCGTACGTACTTCAACAATTTTTTTTCATTTCTTTCACAAAATTAAAATTTAGAAGAACATCGAAAAACGTGTTCCTGGTTATGAGATGATTGCTAGTGTGAGGAGGCGAGGTGGAGTTTGAGAGAGCAAAGGCTGCGCAAGCTCCCTTTTCCTACAGGCAAATTTATCTTCGACACACGATAACTAAGATCTCGATTTTAACTATTTTACGATTTTATCTATACTCAAGCATTCTTAGAATTCTATTTATATTGTGATCATGGGATCTTGACACACCCATCAAAATTGAGCCACACTTGCAAAGTATTATCCAATATATTTGAAATATTAACTGATTAGGAGAAGTTCACAATCACCCCGATCACACTAGTTTATGGAATGCCGAAAACAATCGAAAGTTATGATATTGGCTCATGTCTCAACCATCCGTTCCTCTTCCTGCATTTTTAACTGTTGTATTCTCACTATAGAACTTCCTTATTAATGAATTATTTTTTAAAATCGTTCATCAACAAATTTGTTAATTATTAATTGGTATGGTGTACATTATACTTTTAATTTTTATTATTGCATTATGATGTTGGTCCAGTTGAGGATTTAGAATTTAATTTTTTTTATTTTTTTTTATATATAGTGATGATTACTTTGATAGAAAAAGAAAGAAAATATGTTAAATTATGTTTGAGTGGTCCATGAAGCCCAGTTAAAAAAAAAGGAATATGCTTTTAGAGATAAAAATTGTTATTGGCACATGCTTATTATTTAAAAATGTGTGTTTAATTATTATATTAATTAATAGTGTATGATTATTTAATTATTTAGCTAAGATCACTCACATAAATGAATATAGGCCACAAAATAAAACATAATTTTTGTATTTTGGGAGGGCGGTTCAGCCGGCTGCTTAATTAATTATGTACAAGTCAGTTCACACTTCATAAGTGTACATGGTTAGGAGTATATAACTGCTTTAATAGCGGTTATTTGTAACTGATTCAAGAGATCAGTAGCCTTCATACTCATTCGGGTAAACTCTGTTACTTTCGGCATTAAATGAACAAGTGTGATCTAAGTGATTTTGAGCAAAGCCTAATCCGGTACTAGTTCTCAAGAATTACGCTTGGTTCACAATCACTTCGATCACACTTGTTTATAAAATGCCAAAAATAGTTGAATGTCATGAAGTCAGCTGTTGTCTTAACCCAAATTTCTCATGAATAATGGATATCATCAACTTCATTCTTTTCCACAGCTCCATAATATATCACTACTGTTAATGCAAAAGGTCAAATGTAAAAATTGAGTGTTTTTTTTTTTTTACAATAGAGCATAATAACTGATAATTTCTTTATGATTTATTAGTAAAATTTCATATATTATTTCCCTATAGCATTTTCAATAGTAGCAGACTATTTATTATAGAAAATTTTGACTGAAGTCCTCCAAAATGTTAAAATATTACCATGTATTATTAAAAAATTATCTCTAAAAGTATTATTTTTTATGTAATTACATTTGTTAGGACTTCATGAATCACTTAAACACCATTTCATATAGTTAGTTTCTTTCTTTTTCTTCCAGAGTAATACATTTATATACAAATGAATTTATATACAAATAAATTCAGGCTGAAGCTCCTTCTCAAAAATTAAATCCTGGATCCGCTAGTGTTTAGCACAAATCGAATTAATATAAAAAATTGTTACATAAGGCCTTTATTGATATGTATAAGTCGATTAAGGTTATGTGATTTAACTTATTTGTCTAATATAATTCCGTGAGTGAGCCAAGGACTCATGCTAAATAAACATACATTGTTAAGAATATAAAAAAAATTTAATGACAGGAAATTTACTAGTAACTGACCCAGAGATCTGTCGTTTTTGTTCTCTTTCGGATTAACCGAGGTGCTTTCGGCGTCCCATGAACAAGTGTGACCGAAGTGATTGTGAACTTCTTCTTTATAAAGGCTTATATTAATCTGATCATTTCAATATTTGTAGAAAGTAAAGAAGAAGAAAAAAATAATGACTGCTTACTGACTTTTTCATTTTATTTAAAAATGGCATGACAAAAATTATCAATTAGGTTTTAACAATATTAAAAAAAAAAAGTTACTCTACTTTTCTGACTGTTATAATATTCATTCATAGAGTTTATTATTATTGCGTGGTATCATAATATTTATGGGTTTGTAATAGTTTTGAATTAAATTAAATTAAATTGAATTGAATTGAATTAAACGACAGATTGGAGTGGTCATCGGTGGTTCCTTTGGTATTGTCTTCACTCGAACCTCTCCAGTGACCACCTTTACATCTGTCCTCACCAACTTTGTTCTGTCTGCAAAATAATTTGTCTTTTATGTGTTTAGATATGTTATGCTGTTGCTAATTGTTTTTGACATTTTTGTAAATATCTCGGATCACTTATATTTAATGTATATATTTAATTATTTTTTTTGTGGGTATGAGAGTTCTTAACTTCCTTTTTACACAAAATATGTTTTTACGTTAAGCCATTTCTTCATTTGAATAATTAACCATCATAATGTTCATTGGATATTATTACAAATGTTGTGATTTTTTTTCTGACAAAATGAATTCTATCTTGTACATATTCAAGCTTTGTTAAATTAGGCTTCCAAAAAAGAATGGTTGTTCAACGTTTAGTTAACGTTTCAATTGAAAATTATAAAGAAATCAATTACTTTTTTTTTTTTATAACTACTACTGCTGTACTTGTTCATTATTGCTGAGTATTTTGCCTGCTCACTTCTGAATTCTTATTTATGTTCCATTAACTGTATTTTCAGGAAAAGAGCTTTCATCTTCCTAAATAACTATTAGGGAAGAAAAAAATATATATATATATACTAGTAGGTCTGTGCGAAAAATTTGCACAGCATATTGTTATCAAATGCCAAATTAATAATAAAATAAAATAATGCAACGTATCAAAAGATAAAGAAATCAATTATTTCTTTATCGATTAACATAATCGACAAAGGAAACAAAAATTAATTTAAATCTTCATCTTTGCTTGGAACTAACATGTTTACAAATTTCAGTAAGCTGTATCTTTGCTAAAAATTGTCTTTTATAAAATCATGGGCATAACCAAGGGAAAAGTGTGTAATTTTTCAGTTATTCGCAAATAAAGTTTGTTTTCTTTCATAACTTGTTTGCCTGAATTTTCGAGGTGATTGGACTATTTTGTCTGTCTGAAGGAGAAGAAAGCCTTTAAAATTGGTGGCTCAATTTTGGGATTTGATGAAGAATTAACGATTATGTGGCTTGCCAACAAAAAACACCTTCCATAAATTATATAAACTCCTCTCTTGACCATAGGGACCTGAAGTCGACAAAATGAGACATGTATTCCATGACAGTACTACAATTAACATAAGGTTGTGTGGATGCGAACCCTTTGCCTTGCATTATCTTGAAAATGGTAGATTTTTGGGCTTAAAAACACAGGTCCCAATAGTTCCAAAGGAACTAGCTGGGTCTTGGTGTACGCATTAAAATCTCCAAAGCCCAGTTTTTTCTGTATAGATCTACAAACTTACCACCATTCCAGTATCAAAGCCTAGCAAAATGTTTATATCGGCTTTATTTATTTTAGAAAGAAAAACAAAAGCGGAGAGTATGATTCGCTAAACCCCCGTAAAATTCTGAATCCAACGGTACCGCATTCATGGTATTTGAGCTTGAGAGGAGCTTATATTTGATACAAAACCGATTTCGAGCTTTGCTGTAATAATATATGTGGGGATGAAAAAAATGCTATTTGTTTTTTTTTTTTTAGATCTCTAAAAAAATTTCTTTTGGAGAGTTGAATGTTTTTATTTTTTTTGGTGTTTGAAAAAACAACATCAATACTAATATTTAAATGCTTGGAAATTTCAAATATTACAAATATTTCTATTAGAGAAAAGAATTTATTTTTATTTTTTTAGAATATTTGTTTTTACCTGTTGTACAATAAGCCTGATTAATTTTTCACAGGGTGTACAAAAGATAAATTTTCCATCAAATTTCATTGGGGTAATTTGATATCCAGATTGTTTAGATGAGAAACCAGATCTTTTTTTTTTTTACCAGATCTTTAATCAATTTTTTTTTTAATTTTTAATAATGATGAAATTACTACAATTCACTTCCAATCCAGAA